ATTAACACTACCAATTGTCATTACCTCTCCTATCCTCCACACAGGCTGCGTAACAAATGGCAGCAATATAAAGATTTCTCTGTTTGACTCTGGACAAGTGTCTCATTCTTTCAGGCACTAATGAACAAAACAACAGCTCCACAGCACTAAACAAAATAGTGGACGGGTACTGTTGTTACTTGGAGTGGCGTGAGGAATCGACTAAAAGGAGAAAAAAAATCACCAATAGGAGATTTACTTAGGTACTTAAGAGACTAGTCATTCTGAGCAGATCAATAGAGCAATACAGTCTCCCACTTATTAACAGTTAGTAAAAGTCTGAGACAGGTTTAAAGAATGTTATATAGAGGAACATGAATATACCTAATTAATTTTCCAAACTAGAAGCCCTTGCAGCACATGGACCACTGCCAAAGTATGAGGATTGAAAATGCTATTTCAGTGTGTGCTGTGTAACTTGTCCTGTGGAGGGTCCATCACCTGCTTGTCTCCATGGAGATGTGCCTAGAATGTTCCACAGTATGACCATAAACTTAAGATCTCCATGAAGACTTGCGAGCCAAATTACAGGTTAGAACTGTGGAGAAGCATATTTTATAACATATTTTTGAGCAATAAATAACATCTGTAGTTGAATAAAGGCAAGACAGATTAGTTTAATAGAATACTGTGGACAAAATAAATACATAGATCACCTTTAGTATTTAATTTGTTTATACTTTTTTCCTTTCGATGCTGTATTTTAATTAAATAAATAAAAATAAATTGTGGCTTGTATATTAGCACTTTTTATGTTCCTTGTGGGAGTCATTTGGCATTGACAAAATTAGAGGCGTACAACATATCTTTTTGGTAGAGCGTCTGTCTCCTGCCTATCACCATGGAGCTTTTTTCTGGAATGTTCCTCAGTATGGCATTAAATGTATCCATCTCCGTGAAGTCAAGTAGACGGCAACAGGCCAAGCTACAGGTAAAACCTGTGCAGAATCAGATGCACCCAGTTCACAACAAGGATACATATTTTCAAGGTATTTTCAGTCTATCATAACAACTGTAACTGAGAAAGAAGAAAATAGATATGTTTAATGTAGTATTGTGGAACATTCTAGGCAAACATATCACTATATCCATGGCGATAAGCAGGTAGTTGACATGTCACTGTGCCATGGTGACACAGTGGACACACACACTGAAATCCGAAGAAAAAAAATACTAAAAACTACACCTATTGTAGTTCCAGTTAAATCAGTTCTTTATAGTCAGATTGTGTTAAAATAAAGCAGAGATTAAAGTCTAACAAGGCCTCAGACAGAGCATCAAGTGACTGTTGACAACATCAGCTACAAAGTATCAATATAGTGGGAAACAATTAGAGAATTCTTTACAAACACTAAAATTATATCTCTATTTTGGCTTTCCGTGTTAGATTTTGTTTGGATACATTCATGGGAACTCCTGATACATCTTGCTAATTGAAGAGTTAATCCTGGTTGGCCTGGGAAAAAAAAAAAAAGAGAAGGCTAAAGCTGAGGAGGCTAATCTGGGAGCGAAGCCATGAGAGCAGCGCTGATTAACAACATTATCACCTTGCTCCCCTTATTCTGAGTGCGTCTGCCACGCTCAATCACTCTCACATCCAAGGTTACCGCCGCTTATTTCAGTTCAATATAAGCTGCTAACAATGAGAATCTCTGGGCCTTGTATTTCCCACACAAAACATCATAGCGCTTTAGTTTTGTTGCAGACAATGCTGGTTTGTTGCTTTGTTTTTCTTGGGGTTTGTGGCGGCTTAGATTCCTCCCTGTGAAATGAGGATCCTAAAAGAGACATGATTATTGATTATTTCTATGTGGCACGATCAATAGAGTGAAAATGTCTCTAAAAGATGTTTTTAAGAGGATTCAGAGCTCTTTCTTTTGTTGGACTGCTAGTTTTGTGAGGCTCTGCTCTCTGCAGGAAAATGAAGGTTTCAGCAGGGTCTGTTGAGACTGAAAATAAAGGCAAATCTAAGGAGGCTGCATTCACACTACAGGGAAAAGTACCATAAACATGTTTCCCATATATTTACAGTGGAGACTGCAGTTACAACCCACCATCGTAAACATTGTAAATAATGTGGTAGCCTTATGTAGGAATGTACGACAATGACTTTCTCTAAATAGTCAAGTGTTTCAACTTACTGTTTATAGGCCATATTTGGAGTAGGACAGTCATGACAGTAACTCAATATAGATGGAACTATAATGTTCAGGGCTAAATATTTATTGTCGGTACTTTTCCTTTGTACTTGTTTGTTCTTTTTCTGTACTATGCTAAGGTTTGTGCTGTAGAAGGTTGAAAAAAGACTCCTATTTCCTTTTTTTTACTATTGTACATTTAGAATAGGGGTTTTAGGGATATTGTGTCAGTTGAGGATTTTTGCCTCTTATACAGTTAAGATAGGACATATTAATTTGATTTGTTAATTGCTTTGGCAACGCTGTTACTACAGTATTTCATCACTCTGAAAACAAAACTCTCTAGCACAACAAAACATATGAAGGTATAAGCTTTAGAGTATGCATGATCTGTTATAAACAGAACCTGGAGTCTGAGGGGGCAAAGGTGATTTAGAATGTTTTCGACAGCGCTGTGGTCGATGGAGGCAAAAGGGTTGGTCTGAGTTGTCCACAAACTGCTGAGCTATAGGAGATTTTCCATACATCACAGAGAATATACAGTCAATTGTCAGAAAAAGAGAGAATAGCCAGCATAAACGTCAGGCTGGTGCAACTGGGAAGCAACATAAGTCAACAGAACAATGTGTGAAACCAAGCTCCACACTCAAGCAAGTTTCAACACAGACCTTGAAGAAAAAGGACTGCATGTACAAGATTTACAGTCCTTTACAGTGGTGGAAGAAGTACTTAGTTTTGTTACTTAAGTAAAAGTAGGGATACTGGAGAAAAAAAAAGTAGTAAAGTAAAAATTTAAATATCACATGACAAAACCTACTTAGGTAGAAGTACCTGTTTAAAAATGTACTTAAAGATTAAAAAATAAAACTATTTTATGCAGATTTTGAGGTCTTATGAAGCTTCCAATATAGTGATTTTGATAAAGGTCTGTGCTGATTTTTGTTCAACAAAAACAACCGAGTGGATTTTTCCCCCTTCTTCGCATATTTGTGTTTGCTCAAACTATGAACATGTTAAAAATAAACCCCTCCACCTTTTCAGCGAGTCTCATTCCGACACTAGTGCCCTAACATGATGAATATTGTCTGATAAAAATAAAATATAAAGCATTAAAACAATTCAAATATTAAAACACTGTACGCAGAAGACGTCCATGAACTGTTGCCTTGGCCCTCTCCAATCCTGCGTCTTTCTGAAAAGTTTTAAGTGGATTATGTCGTAAAATTCTTACGCACAAGATCATACGCAGTTTAAAACGCTCGAGGCTCGTCTTTTCCTCAAAAATGTGTCCCGATCAAGGTTTTGCAGTATTTATTTTTTGTTGTTTTCCAGCGCACATTTTCGTGAGTTATTGCCAAAGCTAATCACTTCTGTGTTGTTTTGTTTCACCGAGAGAGAAAAGTGCATTGTGGGTCGGCCAGTCAAACGTGCGTGCGCGCGGCAGGTGACGGATGGGCGCAGTGCGGAAATTGAAGACCCAATTTTTAAAAGAAAAGAAAAGAAAAAAGTGAAGAAATAAACTATCCTTGTGTTGCTGGGTATTTACGATTTTGTGGGGACTAAAATCTGTATACACAAGTAATTCATGGGGACCTGCCTCCGCTGCGTAATGGGGACAAAATTCAAGTCAGTAATTATCCTTAAATCGACTTTAAAGTTCTAATATGTCCTGAAATAGGTTAAGCTTAAGGTTTTGTATTTTAATAAAGTTTACGGCTACGGTTAGGATCTGTCTCCACTTTAGGCTGCTATATTCAGACAAATTGTTGACCTGAAATAGGCTTGATTTAGGATAAATGTAAATAAATAATAAAACAAATCAAATGTGTAGTCTTTGAGTTGATGCATTACTTACGCCATTTACTGACCTTTAAGTGGCAGTAAAAATGAACAGATGATACCCCCTGGCGGTTTATTGTAGACATGCACGTTTAATGCACAATGACAGATTATTAAGGTTAATCAAATCGTATAATCAGTATTTCCATAGTTCTTAGACATTTTTTCATCTGTAAAAATAAACATTGTACGGATGCCTTGTATGTGTATCCATGCAGAGAGTGAAATAAAACAGGACATTATTGAAGCATAAATGAGCCCAGCCCTCTTCAGTATTTGGAGTTACAGAGGAGACGCAGTTTTGAAAGAAGCAGTGCGGGGGCTCGGTGACACAGCGGACACACTGACATGTCAAACCCAGCTGATAATAGTTTAACGCTCAGAGATGACGGTTCAATGCCACGCTATCCCTCAGACACTGCAGAGCTATTATGTTAGACATTTATTGTATGGAGGAGTTCTGGAGGTTCTGAGCCCTGAATATAGCTGCAGAAATACCATATAGAGGCATATATAACCCTATTGCATTCTAATATTAATATTAATACTAATAGTAATGCACAAGTGAAAAGTCCATCCATATTTTAATATTTCAATATGCATCAGATGAAATAAGCAAATGTGCAATAATAGCCTACTCTAGCTGGTACTATCTGGGCAATAATAATAATCATAATACATTATAAAATAACACATAAAAAAAAAAAAATCGTTACTGTATGCAGGGTTGCCTCTCCACAGACGTGATCTGTAATGTGCCCTGGTGGCATCATCTATCCGCCCTCAACCAGGAAAGTAACAAAAAAATACATTAAAATGTCTTTATAATATACAAAGGATCCCAGTGTTATTGATTTGAGACTGTAAATAGGTAAAAATACATTTTTGGTGCACAACTGAAAACAAATCAGTGCTCTCAGTCTGAGGTGGGTGATTGTAGTGTGGTGCTTTGACGTGCTGCTGCTCTAGAAAACAAGTTCACAGTTGATGTTTTTCAAATCTTTTTATTTTCAAATACCTTGCACATTCCCTGCTACCACCAGTGTGCGCTATTATGTGTTGAATAAAAGATGACCTGGTAGTCCACTCCACATGCACAGTTCATGTGTTACAAAAAGACACTGTAAAATGTGTTTGTGATTACAAAGTAGCAGACTGTTCTGTTAGGACAGTTGTTGTGAGGTGAGGCCATAGAGGCATGCAAAGTCCCTCCAGTTCAATAATACTTTATATATGCTAATACAAGTGTTTACATTCACATAGAAAATACAGCTAGGTTTGGTCCCATTCAACCAGGTATTCATAAAGGGTCAGGCACTATTTAGTACCAAAAATAATGATATAAAAACATTTCCTGCAGTAAAATAGAAATATTGGCCAACTGTAATACATGTAGAAGACACATTTTTACTAATGACTATTGTAACTTTACGTCCAAGTCTCAAAAGTTTTGTTACATCATAAAATATTAAATCAACACGCATTCCCAAACACAAGATTCTTTTTCTATACAAACACAAAGCCTTCTTTCAAAGTATGGTACATATATATATATATATATATTTATAACAATTGTTAGAAAACAAAATGTCATAAATGATGTAATTGCACATAATTAATGGTAAAGGTTTGAGCACAGAAACAATAAAATGGCTTTCATTAGTAAAATAAAAACAATAAAATTATACATATACATATACAATAAAAAAATAAGGAAATACATTTAAAATGGCCATAGTATAAACATTAAAATGGGTACAAAACATCTTAAAAAAGGTTCTTGCTTTTCTTTAAGTTCTTTTGTTTCCAGTTGGGCAGGGCGTTGAACTCCACTCGACTCATTCCCAAAAGCGTCTGAAACGTGTCAGTGAATCACAGTGACTAACACAGCCTTTAGACAGTTGTTTCTGAAGGGTTGAACGGGGAAAGTGTTTCTCACCTTAAAGTCCTCATCAGACAGGTAGTCCTCCAGGCGCATTGGGTCCACTCCCTCGGGTAAAGGCTTCTTGGTCAGCTCCTCTATGGAGTACTGCTCTTTACTCAACTTAGCCAGCGCCTCTTTCACAAGGATCACTTTGTTCTTACGGCTCTGATTCTGACAAACACAACATCAGCTCAATGTGTTAAAAGTCTAACACACACATGCAGAGGTTGTAAGAAAAAGAGACACAATAATTTATTCAAATGAAAGTAATTCATACCTTTGAGGCAATTTTCTCATCCTTCTCCCAATATGGGAAAATATTTGTGAATGTAAGGGGCTCACATCCTGCAAGGACTAGGTAGGCCAGAGGGGGGCGCCGGGGATTCTTTTCTGAAAATCGACACCAATCTCAAGTTATGAACTGGCGCATTTGATTTCAGTTTAATGATGAAGCATATGTGGCCCATGTCTGACCTTTGCAGTACTGCAGCACTGTCTCCATAGCGCACTTCCTCTCGTGGTCCCAACGGATTTTAGCAGAGCCTGTGCTCTCGGTGTCCTCCGGCTTCCAGCCTTGCCACAGATACACCTCCATACGATTGTCCAGCAGGAACAGGGCTATGGAGGTACAGATGAAGTACAGACAGGTCAACATATAGCAAACATACAAGCTTTATAAGCACACACTACCATGGCTGGCTGCAAAGGTGGGCTAGATTTCCTAACATGTGATGGGTAAGAAATCTACAGGAATCCATAAAGATAGTCAGATAGAGACAGATATTCCAAATATGGGTAATGGTGGCCACAAATCCATGATGGGAGGTTGTGTTCACTAGGAACAAGTATCAGCACAGGACGTGAAAACCCCAAACATATAGCACAACCTTATGAGGACCGAAGGGTCCCTGACTGCCTGCCTTTTTGTCACTGGACCTCAAGACAGCTGGTAGCACATGAATGAATCTAATCTAATTGTACCATAATTAAGAACAAGCCAGAGAACTGCTATCTGGCCATATTGTCTATGCTGTGGGCTAGGATCAAGGCTGTCAGCGACAGAGCCTATGCTCTTCCCTCCACTGTCTGTTTCTTAAAGGCAAACAGACACCCAGGCTGTCACTTTGTGGGACAGCTAAGAAGATTACACCAGAGACTGCAGAGAGAAGGCTCTGTGCTTCTCCCCCCATATGCCCTCTGAGCAAACACAGAGAAATGCTCAGAGCTACATGTAAGACATGTTCTGCCTGTTCAGCATGTGGTACAGAGAGCACATGAGGCAGGAGCGTACAGCTGAGAGGTCTGGGAGAGACTCCAGAGAACTGACCACTGCAGACATATCCAACCAGCTGGAGCAATTCTTTGGAGGATTATTCAACCATCACATTGCTAATGTTATAATTATTACGTTTTGTTCTTCCATGCTATATTTAGTCAGTGTTGTGCTTTCACTTTGCATTCAGTATTTTTGTATTTAATTTTGGATTTTGAAAACGCTGTTGTAGTTGTGATGATTTGCATTAATCAACCAAATAGTGGGAATGACAATTACATCTTTTACACACATGACAAAATGAAATTACACTAACACCAACTGGAGCTGGAGGTAGCCTTGGTGCTGCAGTGTAATTAAAAAGTTCCCTACATAGCACACAAATCTGAGCTATACCCCTATATATTGTTATGAAAAACTCAAAAATGTGAACATTTGACAGGTGGTATATTGTACCTCAGACCATAATTTCTAAGCAACAAATACTTTTTTTAACTATAGGTTTTAACATCTGTGCAAGATCAGTAATATGATTTGGTACCTGGCTGTTGTGCAGAATAGAGGTTCTCCTGGAGGAAAGGCATGGCCATGACACCTTCTGGCACCCGGGCCGGGTACAGCACCTCTTTGCCCTCGAATGCCCCAGAGCTGGCACTGAGCCGGAACAGACGTGGGGTGTAGTTATACTTCCCTGGGTCTGAAAAAAAGAACTCAATATAAATTCTATTATATTCAGGAGACAAGCACCTAATTAATTATTTACAATTATTATAAAATTGACTTAAATATACCTTGAAGCATGCAGTCATAGGCCTTCTTGTCTTGTGATCCAAGAGCTTTCCAAAAATCTGCTGGTTCACTACCTTCATCCACTTCTTCCACATTTAGACTGCTCACTCCTAATTCTGTTGGTTTTCTAGATTTAAAAATAAATAAATGGACATATGAAATCCACCTGGCTGGGCAGTGCAGTACAAGCATCGGTGCATGGCCCTTAGAGTTAGGAGAGCACTGTAAGATATTAAAAAAAAAAATCTTAAATTTAGTTAAAAGTTAGTTTTTGCTATTAATTAAATTCAGAATAAGTAATAATAAGTTCATAATTAATTAAATAAATAGTAGATGTTATTATTCGTGATCAATAAATATTTATTTATGCCAACTGAGGTACCAGAAAGTACCAATTTGCATAAAAATATGAATACTTTTCTCAAAAAAGGCAGCATTAAAATAAATAAAAAAAAAATGCATTGTTTATATTAAATTTGTGAATTTGCAAATGTTATTAATATTCATCATGCATACATTTTCTTTGCAATACTGGAAAGTTGTGATTCTTTTGTAGCAATATGATAAGATTTGAGCCATAGAAAGTTGAATTAACAACTTCTATGAGACACTACAGAAGCAAACTAAGTACTTACAGTTTCATTCTGCTCTTTATTTATTGCAGCTCAGGGTTATGCAACGATGATAAAGATTTTTAATAGTTTTTGTAAAAAATATGCTCTTGGGTTATTGGGCCAGTTGCATAAATCAGATTCATTATTATTGTTTATCATCTATATTTAATTCAGCAATACATCACACTTAAACATTTGTTATTGTGACAAACCAAGTTGTTATTATATATTTTTTTCTATGTATGCTTACCCCTGCACCAGCTTGTCTACTGCTCTCTTGGCCACGAGTCGGGCACAGCTATGAGCCTTACAGCCATGCCACAGATAGAGCTGCTTCTTCTGTCCACTGAGCAGGACCAGGCTGGCTCTGGACCTCAGACTGGACGGATGACAGGTGACCTCCAGCAAAGACGCCTCCGCCTCTGCCTCCCCGCGCACACAGAATAACTTCCACCCCTCTGGAGACAGGTGCAGATCAGATTAAGTATTAACATGTAAATCACTGTGAATAATTTAGTGTTAAATTATTAGATTATATTTCACCTGTACTTGCTGTGTCTCTGCTTCCTTTGTGGATGATCAAGCCTCCCTGAAACAGCTGAAGGAAGCAAGGTGGCTCTTTCCCCTGACTCACCAGCATCTACACAGAAAATACGGTTAGTTAATTAAATACGGGGCGGCAGTAGCTCAGTTGGTAGAGCATTTGCTCACTGATCTAAAGGTTGGCGGTTCAAATCCTGCTCTCAACATAAACATCACAGGTTGAGCAGTCAGATCCACTGACCCACAGGTTGGCTGGTGTGATTCCAGCTCCCACAGATGAATACTGTCGTTGTGTCCTTGGGCAAGACACTTAGCCCACCTTGCCCACAGTGTCTGCGTACACTGGTGTGTGAATGTGTGTGTGAATGGGTGAGTGGTTCCTTGTTGTAAAGCGCTTTGAGTGCCTTGAAGGTGGAAAAGCGCTATAGAAAAATGTGACCATTTACAAGCATCATTGAAAATATCAGGTAACCATAAAGATATATTAAATGTAAAGGTGAAATTGTAGGATGTCTGCATTTTCAGCCTAATACAGCTATAATTTATTTTTTATTTAACCTTTATTTAAATAGGAAAACACCCAAGGTCAAAATCAAGGTGTGACCCGGCCAAGAAGCATAACCTAGAGCAAACCTGGATTAACAAATATCCCGTTTATTTCTGAATTGATTAAAGTCCAATTGTGATTTGGATCTCCTTAATTTGTCTACTTAACTAACCCAACAACAACTTTGTGAACAAGTCTACTTTTTTAATTACATAAAAAAGAAAGAAAGGAAAAAAGATTAGTATTTTATTTCCCCAAATCTCTAAATGAAACTCACTTGAGCCCCCCTGTGGCTGCCGAGCTCCACTGTCATTAGCGCTGAGGTCCCTTTCTCGTTTGCGCTTGAGTGTCGTCCCTGCCAGAAGAAGCAGGCTGTCCTCTCTCTGCCGGGCATCCCAGCGGCGCTTAACTCCCCAGGCTTCTGCCGCTTCCCCACTGCCACAAAACAACCACAACAACAAACTCTTTTTCCAATATCCTGAGACAACTCTTCTCACAGTCGGATTTTAACACTCCAGCTGGGTAGAGTTTAAGGATGCACAATATATTGCAATCGAAACCGCAAAAGGCTGAAATTAGGTAAAAAATCCTCTGGAGAGACAAAACTATCCTCTATTTTTTAAATGGAAAAATATTGTGCCTCTAGTTTAGACCTTTAAAAGCAAATTGAGAAATGCATGGAATTTTTGTTTTAGTTTATAACTTCACACTTTAGTGTTCTCTCAAATGTTAATGCTCCTGGAATTGTTTACATTGTTTAAAAATGTTGCAAATCGAAATGTAACATCTGAGAGACAAAAATCAACTGAAAATAAAAATTGTGCAGTTCTTGCGGACATGAGACCCACCGAGTGTAGTGATTGAGTACTTCCAGCGGATGATATATGCATCCTCTTCATGTAACTGTCCCAAACTGTTTTCAGGCACCTCCTCCTCGCTGTGTTCTTTGATGTGCCAAGCCTCCACAGCCACAGTGGCCAGCTCCGCCTGTCTCCCGTCCTCCGTCCTCACGATGCCATGTCCCCTGTGGACGTCCACCGCCTCTAGGACAGTCTTCACTGGGTCGGGCTCGTTGTCCAGTAGGGCTTTGGCATCACACGGCTGCAGCTCAGTGTCAAACGTGGGACGAGCGCCGGAGTGGACTGGGCTCTAGAAGACAAATGCAGAATTAGCCTGGTTATCGTCAAGCTAGGCCCTTTGCGATGTTAATAAAGACTACAAGTTTTCAATGAATAACAAATCCCAAGATACAGTGGCAAATAAAAACAAATTTCATTAAGATTACTAAGAAACTACTTTTGACAGTCACTTAATTAGGAGCTAAATAATAGTAACTATAACTTTATTCACAACAGAGTACTCCAGCACTCTATGCATTATGAAACATCAGTAGGAGCAGCGGATTTAAGCAAGTGAATATTTTATTTTCAAAGATGAAACAAAAAAGCCAGAAAATGAGAAAGATTTTAGTTGGAGAGTATAATTGTGTTGGCCAAAAAATGCATGAGACCATCTTCAAAACAAGTTGTTTTTGGGGTAACTGGTCAGCCCTGGTTTATAGTTATCACACAGTAAGCCAGCGGCAGAAGGCACAAGGGGGGTTGATTAAAGAACATTTAAGGATTGAAAGTTAAAAATGCAGTTTCTGATGGAAATGAAAAACTCAATATATTGCAGCTGTGCTTGATGGTTTACCAATACCAGAAAATGTCTAACTGTAAAAAACTGTTGTACTGATCTTTACTTAAAACACTTTACCTTGATTTCCTCTGGTGGTGCAGTCTCTTCCTTTTTCTTTTCTGCCCAATCCAGGAACTTCTCTCTAAAAAGGGCTGTCTCATTGTGCTCCGAGAGGCGGCCAAACAGCGCCCAGCTAGGACGGCTATCCCCTTTCCTAATTATAACAGAGAGTAACAGAAAGCTAGAATCAATGCTGCTTGTTTAAGTGAGAGTTAAAAAAACCAAACAAAATGCACAATTTATAATAAACCTCTGAGTTATATTTATCTATAAAAAGTATGAATTCCATGTTGAATACTAAAACAGATTTTCTATTATATTCAATTTCCTGCTATAATACATAGTAATTGCAAGACATAACCACTAGGGGCTGCAATAACACTAGTCATTGGTCATACACAAGATGAGAGTGCATTTTCACTCACTGTGGTACATCCTTATTAGTACATGAAGCGTCCAGAGGGTTTACTCTGCAGTTGGAGTAATCGTAGCTGCCACTGTAAAGCTGTTTACCCAACTTCACGGCCACTTTCCTGTCTCCCAAGGACACGTCTTTCCCATGCCAGATGTACACTTCGCTCCCAAAATCAAACACCAAAACCTGTTTCGAGGAAAACATAAAAGAGTTACAGATGGGAGACTGATTTCCATGAATCATATAAGAATATGACTTTTGGCTTGATACAGAAGAGTGAATAGAATAAGCAAGATCCAAAAAGTGCTGTATGTAAAATGTACTTTTATGAGATTTTCACCAGGTTTGCACAGTACTCTTTCTTTGTGTTACCTCTTTAGAGTCGAGCAGTGAGACACTTGGGATGGAGGCCCAGGCATCTTCATGTGGCACCAGTTTGTCTCCCTGCAGTCTGTACACACCATTAGAGTCCACCACTCCACTCTCATACAGCTCGTCTTCCTCTGGCTCTCCTGCTCCTGAGATACACATATATACGATAGACAGTAAGCATCTTTTATACCAGGGAATACTGTTAAAATATGTCTATTAAATAAATAAAATAATTTACCTCTGTATTGCTCTTTCCCTCCCAGTAAAGTCCAGAACTCTTTGGCTGACCTGCCCTCCGTGTTGATGCCCTCCTCCAGCAGCGTCACCTGAGGGGCTTTACACCCTAGGTCCCTTTTGGCCTGAACGAAGGACGCCATCTCTGAGGCCTGGACAAACAACAGGATCATTAAGCCAATTTAATTAAATATGTTTAATTCTGGGTGCCCTATTTACTCTTTTCATTTACAATAATACTAAAAAAAAATATGAGTTAAAGTAAATGTTTGACAAGTAAGCTGTAAATAGGCTTAACACTGACAGAAGCACTGATTACTCTGAGAATAATAGTATTAGTGTAAAATTTCAAACTCAATTTGATGCTAACAAAAGGGCTTGATACTCTATACAAATTTTAATACCACAATGCTGTTTTTTCAAATACAAAAAGCAAGACTAAGTATTGTTCAAATTAGTATTTAGTTTTAATACCAGTTCAATATCAATTAGTATCTGATTCTAGATTATACTGACAACCCTAGAAGATAATTTGTTGTAAATGTCCCAGTCTCAGATAAATAAAATATACATAATAATGGTCACAAATAGAAACTAGAAGACAATAGAAACATTTTTATCATACCTTTGCTTTTTCAATGACATTTGCGAATTCTCCGCTCCACATGAAGCAGTGTTTTGGTGTGATCAGGAGGAAGCAGTCTCCACTGTTTAGAGAGCGGGCAGTAGGCTCCACCAAGCGCACCTGGACATGTCTCCGACCTGATCACATGTTCACACAGATAAACCAAGAATTACTTAACTTTTCAGTATGTTTTTGTTTAAGAGCATGGCTCTTCTGTCCTCACCTTTGATCCGAATGAGCATGAGTTTGTTAAAAGGCAATGCACTGTTGTTAGTCACCACTTCTGTAGATTTCACACTGCGCAGGCTCACTTTACGGAAGTTCTCTTTACTGGCAAGACCGGCCAAGGCAACATCGGACAGTTTGGAGTGTTTTGCCACTGAAATTAAAGTTACATCTTTATGAGCTCCTAATATAATAATTAAGGAACCAATAAAAACATATTTTCCCACACACATTACATCACAATATTGATGGTGTACTCAGTTCCTTTGGTTGAGAAGGTCAAAAGGTCATGTTGGAAAACAAATAAAGGAACTAAACCGACAGGCACATATCAATAAAATATAATATTATGAATATTTATATAATTTTAAATAATATTATGTACATATTTGAGTATGATAATTGTAAAAATATATTATTTTATCCTTGAAAATATGCTCACAAAATGTCCAAAAATCTTTTGAATCTAAACTGCCGTTAACATTTCCATGTACAAATGTGCAATCAATCACAATCACTTCAAAACACAGCAGTTTTTGTCTATACATACATTTGCAGTGTTAATTAAAAATACACCAGTTTTATCAAAAATATTGTATAAAGACCTACTCCTCTCAACTTGAATCCTTTTAGTCTCCACTGATGCCACGTTCAGCCTCTGCTCAGTGTAGCCCTGTCGGATGTCATTACGAGCAGCCAATGTCTTCAGAGGGTTCCTAGAGCCCTTTTTCCTTCTGTTGGGTCTTACAGCGCGCTTATGTTCAGCCACAGATGAAGTCAGCCTGAAATTTAAAATATATGAAAATGCTTTCCAATTATGTAACAAAATAACACTTGATTTTTCATCTTTTATTCTCACGTGGGTGTGTCGGCTGTGATCTCGCTGAATGCCTCCTCTGTCACTGTGATTGTGGATTCTTGCAGAGATGTGGGAGACATGGGTTTGTAGAAGCTTCCAAAAGTCTCGTCATCATCCAGAGTCATAATTTCTTTCTCGGTCTCAGCTGTAACTTCAATGGTGGAGGTCTTGCTTTTGCTCACACCTGCTCCACACAGACAAAAAGGATTTGAACTAAGCAAAGTGCATTATGAAGCTTTTCAGTAGGGGGGTCTGTTATCTTCTTGTCTCCATGGAGAAGTTATTGCTTTGACTGGAATGATCCACAGTATGGCATTAAGCTTATCTATTTTGCATTTACTCGATTACTTATGTTTTTATTGCTCAAAAATATCTGACCTGTGTTGCCTCTCAGCTGACTAGCAACTTTGCCTGGTGGGGTCAGCTGCTTGTTACCATGGAGATAGAGATTTAACACTATACTGTGGAACATTATAGGTAAAACAGTAACATCTCAACAGAGATAACAGGTGGCAAAGTTACATAGTATCTTTAAAACTGCACCTATAGATCAGTAACATGGCTAAACCTGTAGACTATACCTTTGTTATGGAGTTTATCAAGGAAGGATTCTAGTTTGTCAAGTCGCTTGTCTCCTTCGACCTTAATGTCACTTCTGGTTGAGATTTCTAAACAAGAAGTATGACCATAGTAATAGTTGTTCATTTTAAAATATTATTATTATGTAACTGAGTAGACGATGTCCAACCTTCAAGTGGTTTCACAGGTGTGGCATTGGACTTTTTCAGAGAAATTAGAGGTGATTCTTCTTTACCTGTATCTGTCACCAAACCTGGAATAAACAATGATAATATTAAGTTATTATAAGTTTGATTTAGGCATGGAATGCTTGACATAAAATGCAGTAAAAAGTAGTAGTACCTTTCTTGGCCATGCGCCCCGCCACAGTGAACTGTACAGAGTCATTGGCTGCTCCTTTCCCTTTATTTTTCCACTGCTCCTCTTTTTCTTTCAGGATCTTCATTCTTTCTGCCAGGGACATCTTTGGCTCCATATCTGTGTTTGACTTCTGTTATAACAATGAAATCACATTAAAACTATTAATTAACAGCTATTCACCAATATATCGTTTAAATGAGCCCTTTGCAAATAAACTGAAGTGTACGTATATACTGATGGATGCAGTTTTCCAAGATCCAGTACTCATTCATGATCTGAGCTGTATGTCTCACAAATGCAGATGAAACCCCAGCTAAAAGCCAAGATGACTTTATTGAAAAAGTAAAAACAAAAAGTTGAAAATGTGGGAAAAAACAGCAAGCATTGTGTGTGAGAGCGGACTTTGCAGACTCACTCTAAAAACAAACAAATGACTAGGTCTGTACAATCAGTCACATTGATGGAGGGACTTTTCTAACTTTTCTAATCAGGAGCATGACTCAAACACTCACAGATGTTGGCAGCTTTGAAGACAAAAAGGATTTCGAGTTGAAGTGTGAACTGTCAGCAAGGATTTACGGTAGACACACTTAAATCTTTTGAAAACTTTGCAGCTTTTTAGCAGCTGGTTACTTCAAAACTAAAATCTTGAGTCTTTGTGACTAGAGTGTCCAAGTTTATTGACAAAATGAAAACAGAAGATTAGGTTTGATTCCTTGATTGAGTTTATAAACTCTACTGGAATTTCTGAAACACAAATAGGGCAAATTTGAGTTATTACTTCCAATAAGGAGGTGATGTTTTTGCCAACATTGGTTCAAAGTTGATTACATTTCTGAAAATGGTCAGTAATTGGGCCAACAGGGAATAAAGGCCAGACATTTATGCAGACCAAATGGTTTATTTAAATAATTTTGTAAGACACTGATACAAGGTTCATCCATGTAACATGCATATGTAATATTTGTAATTTTAGGATTTCAGTCAAACTTGATTTATAGGGGCCCTTTACAGAGCTCAGTGTGACCAAAATACTTTTCAATAAAATCCCAACACAAAATTAAAAAAAATCCAAAATATGAAACAATGAAACAAAACTAATAGTGTCAAGTGTCTATGCATTACTGAGTGTTGAAAGCCAGTCTGAATAGATACATGTAGTCTGGATTTAAGCAGGCCAAAGTCTGTGACAGTATGCATATCAGGGGATATGAAAAAAAGCCTGATCACCTCAGTGTTTGTGTTTGTCATGACTCAATGAACAGCACTGAGAATTTACCCCAGAACGGCAAGGTAAGTGCCAAGGTCAACTCCATTCACGGGTTTCAGACTGTAGCACTGTTACCATAGCAATTAACAACAAAATGAATTGTGATGATGATCTTTTGAATGGTAATGAGTGCCTAAAATGGCGCCTATAAACCGGAATCAAAATTAGCGGTAAGATTTTTTGGTGATTTAAATTCATGAAAAATTCTCAATTGTCCATTTATACTCTCAACTTACCACTCGCTCCCCACAGAAAATATGAGCTAACCCAACCTTGTTTTTCTGAAACCAAATTTGCCTGCCATGCACAAATATTAGGGCTGCACGAGACAAAAGCGCCGCATTGAATCACACTGACATATACAAACAGTTCAGTAAGCCTGGGCCTTTGAAGAGAGCTCTTGCTGGTTTCATAACACCATATTGCCATTCATTTTTCTTGACACACCAAGATGCTTAACTCCAGATATATGAGGTGGGTTTTGGGCATTTCTGCGTGAGGGGAAATACTTAAATACTCTGACCTGACAACACCCTAGGGAGAGTGGATCGGGGATAGGGGCTTCCAACACCCCCCATAGGAAGACATTTTTCTCAGCCCTGCCCTTCTCGCTGCAAAACCACTGACAGAGTTATCTACCAAATGTGGGCCAGGAGCTAACCGCACCGTACAGCTGGAGCAGGACTGTCGACAGCAACGATTTCTCAGCCAGCGGTAATACTCAGAGAGGACAGAGAAACTATCCAGGGTTTACAGAGAGGATAGAGGCAAATGCATTAAGAGGAAAAAACTTACCTGAAGGAATAGAGGAGGTAAGGAAGCAGGTAAAGAAATAAGGGAAGTCCGCAGGATAAGGACAAAGGAAACTAGGAAAGAGGAAAGGAAGGAAAGGAATCATTAAATGCAGGAAGAAACACAGAGGGTGAAAGTGGAAAGAAAGGTCAGCAGCTGGTCTAGGTTTAGATATGAGGGGGTAGGAAGTAGGAGACAGACAAGGTTCATTAAAAGTTTGGTATAGACAGAGGGAAATTATTGTTTACAAAGAGCACGATGAAAAGATTAGTATTTATTAGAGAGGTTTGTTAATTATAAAAAGAATGATTATTTTGGTATATTTTGAATTTAAAGGTGGACTACTTTGTTTGTGGGTCAGTCACTTGCTCTGTTGCTCTGCCTGGAATGATCCACAGTATGACAATAAACTGTTCGACTTTATATTTATTCAATTACAGTTTTATAGCTTGAAAATTCCAAGAAACACCATCATTCTGACTGTGAGTGGGGTTGCCTCTCCACACATCTGTCCTGTAACATTGTCTAATTTGGTCTTCACGAAAATAGAAAGAAAGGTTTAATACCATATTGTGAAACATCCCAGATAAAGCAATAACAGCTCCACAAGGAAAAGCATTTGACGTACCCTCTACTAGAAAAGTTTCGCAATGCACCTTTAACAGCTGCAATCAATAAGGTACAGCTATGAAGAAATGCAATGTCAAATGAAATGCAAGACAATGTCAGTGTATTTTCTCAGTTGTACAAGTAGGGTCCATGGCAAGAGAAAATTTAATTCTGTCAACAATACAAAAGGTTTTTTTTGCCACTCATCAGTAACTCATTCAGTCTTAGATCACTGCCTTAAATATCTATTTGAACTGAGGAGCAAACTATAAACAGTTGACAGCATAATTTTTTCCTGCTATCCTCGCTATCAGCATAGTGTTCAGAAATGTGGACAGTCAACCAGATGTTTATCTAAAACATGTGCTTTCTATCTTTTATTTTTATTGTTATTCAGTCTTTAAATGCCTTAGAATATTTTGAATTATACACAAAATGACAATGTTCGACACATGTACTCAACACATTTACAAGTAAAAATAATTTGTCCAAATGGAGTAGCAGTTATCTTGACACAGAGTAAACAACAATAATTTAGGATGTGACTTGCGAGTAGAGCTCCCCTGTCTTTTTTACAGGCCACTGGAGGTGTGGAGAAGAGCTTAGAGACTTTAGCAGGAAACATCTGGATGGGTTTGCAGCTGACCGTGATGTGGACCAAGTATGCTAACAGTCCCGTGGCCTCTGTGGCCTGGGTCTGGACTGCACCACGAGATAAAACAACAAACCCGTGGCTTCCATTTCCAAAAGGACGAGGAAGTGTAACAGGAAAAGTGATACCCATACAAAGCTAAATTTAACACAGACACTGGCTTTGGTTCATTTTCTTAACCATCTAATAAACAGACAACCACAGGTGATTTGACTGTCAATGTACTATCATTTGTGGGCTAAAATCTGCATTATACTAATAATAGGTAGAAACCAGAAAGACTCTAAAATTAAGTCTAAACCCACTTAAAACCACAAAAGTTATGATCATTATAATCAGGTCTACTAAAAAAAAAATTTAAAAAAATCATACAACCAGATAGAGGAGTATATATCAAATTATTGATACTATTGTGAATGCTGATTTGAAGATTTGCAAAATCTGAATACAGAGTATCCTTCACCATTTACTATTCTGCATAAAGAGCAAATTTAACATAAAAGCAAACTGTGATAATTGATCTGTCTTTGTAATTTATGCTGTTGAGATTTTTTCAGAAATTCTGTAATTTTACAGTCCTTTCATTTAACACATATGTTTTAAACCTTACATTTTACCCCATTTCTGTTAGGTTGTCAAAACTCCTATTGATTATTGTTATTGGTATACTCAATCAAATATTTGTGTGTGTATATATATATATATATATATATATATATATATATATATATATATATATAGTTGTTAATATTGCCCACCCGTATGACCAGCTGTACCCATACCAGACTTTGAGAATCCCGAGTCCGTTGTATGAGGTCATTTTCACTCTGCATTACAGAAGCAACCACAGTCACAATTACTTTTGGACAACTTTCAAACCTTGAGTTGAAGATGTTGAAGATGCACTTTTCCTGCTGGATGTAGCTAATCTTTATGGACTCTGTGTTGACTTATATTTACTTCAAAAGGCCACACAAATTTAAAATGATATCAATCAAAGACACTGCTCATTGCTTCTATTATGATTTTTCCAGACCAAGTTGGGTGAATCATAAGCTGCAAACCAGAAATTCCCAAACAGGCTCAGTGGGCAAATGATGGTCATAAACAAACATGTCATCAGTCTACATCCTGTCTTTCCATTCAACTTTTTAGGACTTTCAACCTTCAGACTGGGGCTGTGCAAATAATTTAAATTTAATAGTCAGTACAGTTCAATTAATTACAATAATGTGTTTTGAAAGACAAGGGCGCTCATTCTGTCCCATGAAAGCTCAGTTGACAGTCTACAGTGGCTTTTAAAAGTGCAAGTGTTTTTTTTGCTTTTTTCCCATATTGAAATATAACTTAACTATATAACTTTTTGGATGGGATTCGTTACCTGCTTGTTTCTATGGATATGTCATTGCTCTGCCTAGAATGTTCCACAGTATGACATTAAACAGCTCTACTTTATATTTATTCAATTGAAGGTGGTTTTATAGCTCAAAAATACCTAGCAAAACAGACATTCCAACTGTGAGCAGGGTTGCCTCTCCACAGATCTGACCTGTATCTTGCTCTGGTTTGGTTTCCATGAAGATAGAAAGGTTTAATACTATACTGAGAAACATTCCAGACAAAGCAATAACATTTCCACGGAGAAAAACTTTTGATGGACCATCCACCAGAAAAGTTATACAATGCACCTTTAACAGAACGAAAACAAAAAATAGACAAACAAAAACATCCCATCCCTCTCTCTACACTAAAACCATATACAAAACTACACAAAAAACACTGGGCAATCGAATATCAACTATCATTCAAGTCCAAACCTGTCAAAATGTTCAAAAAAGGTGAAGAATCTTTTCCAGAGTGCAGTAAGATAATAGTTAATAGTCTATCTATCTATCTACCTAATAAAGAATCAAGTCAGTAACAACACAAGTTATCATCAAGGTATCATAAATCTGTAATTGAGTAAATGCAAGTTTGCAAATTTAAATCCACACAGCCACACCGCCACACCTTCAACACTCCTATTCTTTCCCTTTTTCACGGTACATTAATATTTTGTTCGAATAATAGATCTGAATTATGACTCAGATATTCAGGACAGCTCTGTTAGTAAAAGTCAAGAGCGTGTGTAAAATTTCGCCATGTGAGGAAGCTGACGCAAGCACCGACCTTAATGTTTAGGTACAACTGATCGGTGGACAAGAACAATGAACCATTTTTAAGCAAGTCAAATCTAACAAAGCATGGCTGCATTAGGTCAGAATCCAGGATATGTTTGGTCATGGTGAGAGTTTGTTTTTCCAGAACAAAAAAAGCGTGACTATCCCTCTCTTTAAGCTCCGGATCACTTGCTTTGGCATTGCTGCCCAAATGAACTGTACCTTAAATCCAGCCTAACCTCTCCCCTCCTGGCAGCAGCTACGGGAAATAATCTGACTCCACACAGGAAGAATGTGTCCAAAGCCAAAATCTCTTTTCCCCCTCACTAAACCTTTACAGAGAAGCCTCAAAACCTGGGGCCATACTCTCATTATGGACATTTAAACCAAGAAATCCACTTTACCCATTTAAAACGCTCTTACCTTTTTCTTCCAGGCATTTTCAGCATCTTGAAGTTGGTTGAAGCGATCAGTCAGTGACGTCTGGATGACCTCAGATGGTCTATTCCTTCTAATTCTGGTCTTAGTTTCGTTCTCTCCCTTAAAGTCTGACAGCCTACAAGAGTAATAAGATAAGGTTCAGATAAGGATTTCAGTGGCTTTCAAACAACTGTGATGGTTAGGAAGAACAAGATAATCAATTTAACCACCACTGTTGCATTCTAAGATAAGGGCGCTTTTCATGTAAAGTAACACAGGCTTTTATGATTTAATATAAATGTCACTATGCCATGAAACCACTCACAAAAAGCCACGCTCTTAAAATACGCCTTTATGCACACCAAAAGATGTCCTACATGTCTTGGAATAAGCAACTAAAATACAAATATAAACACTTAACACACTATTTCAAGCTGTTATAAAGTAATAAGCCTGTGAAATAATGGACAAATGTAAAGATGCACTGTGTAACTTTTCTGGAGGTTTGCAACACATCTCCATGGAGATTATTGCAATGCCTGGAATGTTCCATAGTATGCCATTAAACTTTAGCTTGATTCATCAGCCGGTTTTACTTCGTTTCACTTCGTACAAACCGTCTGACCTCGCAGCCTTAGATTTTGTTCGCTCGATGGTAGGTGGGTGCTTTTTATCATTTAACCAATCGCTGCTATTTGGTCGTGACTCGTGACGTATGTAATGCGCCGCTAACGGGGCTAACTGGTATATTAAGCTTTTCCCAAATCCTGTAGGAAGAAGGGCAATAACGTATTTCCCCTTGATGAAATTCACCAAACATTCTCATTATTCTTGCTTTAAATCCTCGATCTCAGGAATTGTTGACAACACTGAATGTATGGCTCTTCACTGATTGGCTGGTGCCCAAACTTGCACTTCCGGGATTTTTATGAACCGTATTACCTTATTATTACCTCCGCCAAGGAGGTTATGTTTTTGCCGGCGTTTGTCTGTTTGTTTGTCTGTTAGCAACATAACTCAAAAAGTTATGGACCGATTTTTATGATCAGGATTTGTTGAAAATGTGAAAAGGAAGAACTGATTTCATTTTGGGGGTGATCTGGAAGAAATCCTGGATTCTGGATCACTTTGAAATTCTCAATATCTCGGTTAATTATTGACCAAACCCCATGAAATTTGACTCAGGGATGGACAATGGGATCCTCTTTCATATTCCAAAGGCTGATCCGGATCTGATCCAAAAGACTGATTTTATCGCAATTTATATAAAAAATGGGGGTAGTCCTTGGCGGAGGTCTGCGCTCTCTGAGTGCTTTTCTAGTTATAACCTGTATTTTGATTCCTGATCTAGTTGCTGGAGAGAAATTAAATTGAGCAGAGGCACTAGGTGGCACCAGTTTGGCTAATTAAACTTTTTTATCCTGCATGCAATTAGAGGTGTTAATTGCTAAAATTACCTAGAAATGCATGCATTCTTACTGTGAGCGGGCTAGCCTCTCCACAGATCTGACCTTTAACTTGACCTGATGGCATAACCTGCTTTTTTCATGAATATAGATTAATGATAAACTGCGGAACTTTCCAGGCAAAACAGTACCATTTCTTTCTCCACCAGAAAAGATATATATTGAAAGAAAGTATATGAATTGTATTTAGATGACTATATTTAAGTCGATACTCTTGATATTGTGCTCATGTGTTTGTAAGTCTATTGACCTCTGTTTGATTGTGGATCCCATGCTTCCGTCCATGCTGCTCTCCAGTTCGTCCACGTCCTCTGAGATGGACGAACTCTTCTCCAGGCTCTCGGGGGACGGGCTGCGCATCTCCTCAAAACTCCAGCCACTACTGCTGCTCCCTCGCTCCTGTCTGCTCATGCCTCCTCCATCCGTGGCATCATCAATAAGCGACTCCTCTTCGCCGTCCTCTTCGCCGTCCTCTTCGCTGTCCTCTTCGCCGTCCTCTTCGCCGTCCTCTTCGCCGTCCTCTTCGCCGTCCTCTTCGCCGTCCTCTTCTTCCTCGTTTGCGTCTTCCTCATACTCTTCTTCATCTTCCAACTCCTCTTCATCCACGTCTTCCTCACTTACAGTTTGGCTGAGGGCAATGCTGCTTTGCCGGGCCAGGGCTGGGTCTGTGGCAGAGGACTCGCTGTGATCTGATTCGACACTGGTGGAGCGGCTCTTCTTCAGGATGCCCTTAATGCTGCGCGTCTCTGAGTCCTGGCGTTGCAGAGAGGTGGGCTGAGGCGGCGGAGACGGGGAGGCAGGGGGAGAGATGGCTTGTGGGCTTTCGGTGGGTTCTAAAGAATGCTGTAAAAGGAAGCGAAAAATACAAATTAGTAGCACTACACAAGTTGAAAGAATCTTATTTGTGCATAAAAATAGGATTGTTTTCGGTGCTCATTTGAAACCCGTCAAGGACAAAATACTGAAATCTGAACTGTTAAACTTACAGGAATCCCATACATTTTAGAAGCAGAGGTCTAAAAACTACAGAGATAGCAGTTACTTTCAATAACAGGGTATTTTTTTGTAGTTTTTGCTATTTGATTGTTACAGAAATTCAAATTGCTATTACAATATTAATTTCATAAACTGTGCAAGCTTACTAAAGAGGTCATTTTGGAAACATACATTTTTTTTTTCTTGAACAATTTCAACACTCTGGGTTGTTAAAAATCAAAATGGCCTTTTTGAAGCTAATTGTTGTAGATTTTGCTTTAGGCTCAAAATTAATGTGATTTTCTTGGCACTATTTCACCAAACAGAATACTAGGTGAATTGGCCTCTTAATAGCCAACAGTAAAGACATGTGAAAGTGAATGGTAGTCTGTCAGAATGAGTGTTTATTGTTGGCCCTAGGACTAACTGGCCAAGTTGTATCCTGCCCTAAGACTATATCCTCATGATTGGTCTTGTAGTCGCTAAAACACTTGTTTACGCACACTTTAAAGTTTCCACATTAACATTAACTGCACTACACAACTTTAGTGCTAATCCCGAAGCTTACCTCAAACCCACTGTAACATCAATTATTATTTTTATTCCAAAACAATGGCATTCCCTAAAACTTGACAAAAATTATGCTTTTTTGAAGATATTTAGTATTAAACTACAACATATGTAGATCATTGTTTTATATTTAGTTCAAAAACTGCAATATTGATCTAAAATAGTTTTTTTTTTTTTTAAGAAATTGGTTCATTGACTAAAAACTACAAAAACTCAAACTACATCTTCAGTCTTCTGTAGCAAGCAGCTAATTTTCATTTAATTTTTTCTTGTTGCAACAGTTTTTAACCCTACATTTTAGACGCGGAGCCAGACTTTTTTCTGGATAAATTCAAGTAGTAGGTGAGAAGGTGTAGAAAGTGAGTAAGCCTCAAGCCTCAAACGCAGAACAATATATTATTACTCACGCCCCTGAATCAAAATACAACTTTGAGTAAACAAAGGATGAATGAACACTGCTGAGCATGCTTAATAGCTTATAAAAGTTACATAATTTGTCTCCTTTAAGACAAAGGTGCATTACGTCATATATTATTCTACACACACAAGGCAGACAGCCCATAATGACCAGTGTAACCAGAGCTGGCCGTCTGTGTTCAATATGTTCTTTCTTGTATGACACAGCTGCGCCTGGAACTCCGCCAAGCGCCTTACTGTCCGGTCAAAGGTCACGAGGGAGTGTCGATTTGAAAGGGAGATAAAGAGAAAGGTTCGAAAAGTGCAATGCTAACCAGCTGGTCAGACATAATGAAACCCAGCACTGTGGAAATCTTCTGTCAAAACTAAAACCATATAGTTCATGGAATAACATATTTTCTTGTTTTAAGTACAGATTTAGATGGTCGTACCTATGTGAAATGGAGTGTTTCCAGTACCCACAAGTGACATGAATTACCCTTTATAAAACAAAACGGAGTCACATCTGGGAAATGAGCCAAGGTTTTATTAGCTTTGGGATGATCCTTCATATATGGTCATAGCAGTAATCAATATTTATGTTAGTGTAATGCTGAATTATATAAAACACATGTAAGCACTTTGTACAGTAAGGGCCACTGACCTCTTCCTCCTCAGCTGTGGCCTCCTCATGCTGACTGTTCTCAGAGGGGTCTTCTTTGGTCTCACTTTCTTCCTCCATGGCTTTGCTTGAGTCCATCGCAAAGTCCCTATGATGTCATAATGAATACATTTATAACAGTGCTCAAGAGTAAATTCTATAGTTAAAATCACCTTCCATATTCTACTTACTAGGACAAAAGGACAAATAATATGGGATATGTATGCACTGATTAGGAATGCACTGATCCATTTTCTTCAGTTCCGATATCGATTCCAATATTAAGATAAGATAAGATAATCCTTTATTGTCTCCCATGGGAGAAATTTGTCTTGGGACAGGGGGCAACATGCTTTATCAAAAAACAGGACAATTATGGCTTTAAGTATCTGTGGATACATGATATCAACTGATACCAGGAACTAAAAATAGACTTTATTTTCCAAAAACCAAAAAGTATATAATTATATAATATATAATAATATAATATAATTATATAACCAAATGTTAGTTGCTGTAAATAGTCTTATTTAAAGCCCAACCAAGATATCGGCAGAACCAATATTTTGGAGAATTTTCTTGGACTGGCACCAATATTCGATACCAGTATCTGTGCATCCCTAGACTAATACAAAAATTTCAAATCAGTGCTTCTCAAACTGTCCTGTGCACTTTTTTTTGCTATCCATGTTATAGTTTAATTACAATTTACAATTGCTTAAGCCTTTTCTTGGCCTGTTATATTGTTGTTAGAGACCATGTAGATCTTGTGGTACATTGCAAGCCAAATATTCAATTAGTAGTAGAAACACTGATTTGATTAGCTTCAACTCACAATAAATTAAAAATAAACAGAACTGATAACTGAATTACTACTAATTCATGACTATATTATTTTTATATCAAACAAATGTGCAAGTGAATATTCAGTCCCCTTACACCAGTCTTAACAACAGTGTTTGGAGTTCATTTTATTGAGGAACTGAAAGGAAACCTCACCCATCCATCACCATTAACTAATTAGCCAGCATCAATCATTACTCTGACCTTTGGGCTAGTCGTCACCTCTTTTGTCTTTTCACATATTGTGTCTTTTAGTGTATTTATTTTTTGTACAACTGTATGATCTCCCTATCCGTTTCCTCTCAAATCCCAAATATATCCTCTGTATATATGTTATGTATACAACTTAACTCAGTCCTGATTGCCTTCTTTAGCATATTGCATTCACCATAGCTTAGATCTGTTTCATATTTCCATATATTTATGAACGGCTGGTGTGTCCAAACATGTGCACCACCGTGTGTGTGGCAAGCTCTGCAGGTTCATCTGGTTTATTTCTGGGGCTGTTTACATCATTAGGCAGACACTCATTTGAGCCGTAATTATGTCTACGCTGCTTTTTACTTCAAGAAAAAGCTAAGCTCTTAGTAAGGTTGTGTAAAAGGGAATGCCAAGTCTAAATGTGCTAATAAAACTACCATGCGAACTATAATAACATGGTGAGTTGCGTTTGAATTAGCTTAGAGGCAGTTTCAAAAAGTTAGCAGCTTTTTTTGGTCGATGTGTAGTATTTCCCACCTCGTAGAGTCCTCTTCTGTGCTGTCTCTGATGCGGTGGCGGTTCAGTTTGTCGCTGGTAACATCTTCAGTCTTGTCCTGGTCCTACAGTGAGAGGAAAACCAAAAGAAAACACAGTAAGCTCTCCCCGCTGTAAAAGTCATTGATGCATAAACAGAATCAAAGTAATAAACTCCTCCTCCCTTCTACCTGAGCAAAGCAGTTAACTCTTTCATAGACAACAATCAACATTAAGTATGATATATTGTATTGCATTACATCATGCACATGCACAGGCGTGTTCCTTGGAAATTGACGTGTTCCTTGGAAATGGACTTTTCCTGGAAAACTGAGTTTGTTTTTTCGTGTGTTTTTTGCAGGATCTGAAAGGTAAAAGTTGCACCTAGCATCCACTAATTCTGTAATGCAACTTTTAGTCAGTTTTAATCATTATGATTGCTTTTTATTTTATTCAGTCATTAAAAATAGGACAGACAAAAACTATGAAAAAATATCTGAGTCTACAAAATTAACACTGGCATTCTCATTGTGATATACATTTTCAAATTATGATTCAGATCTAGATTTTAAAATTAAAGGTGCATTGTAACTTATCTGGTGGAGGGTCCGTCAAATGCTTTTCTCCATGGAGATGTTATTGTTTTTTCTGGAATGTTTCGCAGTATGCTATTAAAAATTTCTATCTTCATAGGGACCAAAACAGATGCTGGCTGTGGAGAGGCGACCCTGCCCACAGTCAGAATGTCTGTTTTTCTAGGTATTTTTGAGTTATAAAATCACATGTAATTGAATAATGTAAAAGACAGCTGTTTAATGTCATACTGTGGAACATCCCAGGCAGTGCAATGATATCTAGAAACCAGCAGGTGACAGACCCCCACCCAAAAAGTTACATAGAGCACCTTTAAGATTCAGTTTACATTTCCAAAATTGTTTGTATGCCTATTTTGAACAACAGTGAAATAGCAATTTGGACTTAGGTGATAATTCTAACAACATATTGGCATTCTTATTTTTTTTTTCTTTGGTAAATTTCATTAGCTGTTTTCATGATATAATCCTCTCCTTTCTGAAGGCTTGGCACTGGCATAATATTACACTATAGCTGACATCTCCGAGAATCAAATGAATGACAGGTAGCTGGGGCTCACAGTTGAAGCTAATATACCATATCAAAACAGAATTCCTCATGAGTGCCAAATTCAAACATAAACTTTCCAGTCGTTCCAGTTTCAAACCAGCAGAACATTATATAAACATGGAGACCACTTTTTGTAAATATCTTTTCTCAAAGCCATACTAGAGAGACCTTCAGCGGTCAAACACAAATTGCACATTGCCACAAATTACACCATTACTTTCCACCTTAGTAATTGTAAAAGTGGTTAAAAGAGAGATGAATTTCCCATTTATAGCGATTATATACCTCAAGTGTACTATTTGTCTGTACATCTGGAAGTTAACTCATTCCAATGCAAATGCAAATTTATTGCTTTTTGGGGAGCAGACATGCTGTCATAAACTCACTCTAGCCTGACCCTCGGCAGGAGACAGTGGCTTTTATCAGACTCTGAGGAGGAGGAACAGCTGATAAGTGAATGCAACCACAGCAGATTGCAATACACTGCTTGGTACTTTTAAGTGGAACGCCTTCTAGACAAGAGTAGAGAGAAATACCAGGCTGGGCCCCAACAGCTCAAAAATGTGTAACTAATGTAACTGTATGATAGCATCTTTGTGGGAGCGCAATTTCCAGGAGGTCACTGTGACTTTCTGCCTTCTGGGTTCACTTGGTCAGGCTTCTAGTCAAAATTGGTTTGATTTCATTAATGAGCATAATTGTATCCAGAATTGTACCTGTTGTTATATTGTTTTACCTGTTATTAATGATAATGAAAAGCCAGGAAAAGGCCAAGGACAAGATTACATTTTCTGAACCAGGACAGCATTTGAAGACATTACAGACTACGGACTGATGTTTTTTGTAAATTCTTAAAAGGTCCCGCACCTCATTTTTCCCATGTGTTTGAGCCAAAATTCGTCCTTCTTCAATACTATAGTATTTTATTGTTCGGTAATTGGGAAGTGCGGCTTGGTAGTTCAAAGTTGAAAACGCTTACAAACTCATAATTAGGATGCTTGGAATGCATAACTTGAGTGAGGAATAACTCTGGAGTAATGCAAACCATTTAAAATGAACTAGTTCTGTTTTTCACATTTTGAACACTGTAAAAAACAAGTACAGCACCTGCAGATTTGTTACTATGGTGAGATACTTTAGTGGATCAATGGAAAAATAGACTTGTCATTGCATTTATAAAACAGCAGAAAAACATTGCCCACTTTATCCAAGCTTGGGACTGGCCCAGTTAAGTTCATATTAACTAATTTTACTCCTCTTATAAACTTTAACCTGATTTAGCCAACTGGACAATACTGTAGTTCACTCAGATATTCTCAAGACTATGCATTCCTGCTGCAACCTGAGCAGCCTGGGAAAGCTTTGTTTTAAGTGTGTATCTCCCAAAGGAACAGTGGGCGACAATATTATTTTCAATTCCCAAGAAGTGCTTCCTTGAGATGTCTCCTTTTCTCCATGGCCTTAAGACCTCAGAGTCTATGAAGTCATGGCTTTGGCTAAGTGTACAGCCAGGTGTGGATCAGCACAGCTCAATTTGTTATTAATAGGCCAATCTTACAAACAGAGATGAGACAAGAGCACCAGGTGCACACCAGTGGGAGAAAATTATTGGCCAAAATTCAGCAAAATATGTGGAATTCCATTTAGCGTCTATTGGGATGATGAGATTTGGCCGTAAATGTGAGACACTACAAACAGAAGACTGAATGCTTGACAAACTGGAACGCATCACTGCTCACTCCATAAGGTAAACAGCTAAAGCAGGCGATGTACCATACCTTAAAAAGAGAAGTCTTGGATATAACAGTCCTCTTGGCCACATCAGCTCCTATCTCATCTATTAAGAAGAACACACACACAAATAATACATTTAAACAAACAGGCAGGTAACTGTAAATACACTGTAAAGCATTGCATACTCAGTCCCTAGCCTGGCCAGTCAAGACTGCACACTTTCCCTATAGTATACTTTAGAAAGACGTATAGTCTTCTACACGGCCGTGATTCACTGGTGTATGAACCAATTAGGGAATCATGTCAAAACAATGATGGCAGGTTATGAGTAAGTAAAGATAAGTAACACACAGGACAAAGAGCTTAAGGACTCTGCAGAGTCATGGGTGAACCACTAAATGCAATTAATATGAGGTAATGTAAGATATATGCATTTCTGAATGGCACATGGATATTCAAAATCAAAATAAGGAAATGTCTTCAGCATTTGAGAAACGTTCACTATAAATAAACAGCTGTGTCAAAACATTGTATTGTATATTGTGTTCCTGGGCCCAGACCCTCAAAGGTTTGAACAGAGAGTACGTGGGGCTGGCTCGCCAGGCAATAAAGCTCCATGGAACTGTTCCATATAAAAACCTCCCAAGGCTAAACTGAAGTGGACAAACTCTTGACCAGTCAAGTGGATGTTTCCGTTTGGAATACAAAAGTGAATAGCAAAAAAGAAATTAAACCAAGCTGCTTTTTCAATAGTTATCCATTACTAGTGATTAATAATAGACATGGGTACAGATAAGAAAACATAGGAACATAATGTGCTAGAGGTTCATGAAAATCACATACAGCACTAAATATGAATATAGTTATAGTAAGCCAACATGTAGTGCACACATTAATATTGTCAGTGTCTTAGTTTTGCAGTTTCTTATTACCTCTGAAAGACAAGAGATTTTTTTTATTATTTTAATATATCACTCTCTTCTAACAATAATTACAATACTGTGATGACTTTTCTTGTTAAAAATTTAACTATCCCTTCATACTTCATACACAACCATAACCACTTAGATCAATCAACAGTCTAATTTAAATAATGAGCCTTTATTTAACATGTACTTTATAGACTAGAAATCTGTCATTTTGTGAGTGTGCTGTCTAAACAAAACCAGATTTAGAAACCTAATCATTTTATCAGAACAAAAAAGCAAACCATTAAATTTAACAGCACCTCCAAAGCGCCCTAAGTACTTAACTCATTCCTATTGTCTAAATCAGCCTTTATTGCCCCGATGATAAGATGACGAGTGAAGCCAAAACAGCCCCCCTTTAAGAAAACTAAAGAAAATTTAACTTTTAGTGACATGTCCCTGCTGTTCCCATGGTGATTTATGATTCAGCGCTCCCCTGCTGTAGCTCAAATGATGAAGTCCAGAGTACAAAGCCAAGTGATTCCACTCCACGGGACTTTTACACATTTGACTCTAGGCCAATTTTTTTTTTTTTTTTTTTAGATAATTACCAGTCTGGTGCCAAAATAGAAGACCAGTGACAGAAAATGAGAACAAAATAAGCACTGTTTAACTTTTCTGGTGGAGGGTCATGCTATTTCTTTGTAGAGAATGTTCCACAGTATGGCATTAAACTTTTCAATCTTCATGTTGACAAGCACATTTAAAAATGCCAGAAATGCAAGAATCAAGAAAATTTACACAGTAGACCTTTAAGTTACCTATTTTTTAGAAGATATCTCTATACTAAATAAAAGGAATACATAGAAAGCAAAAATCAATAACAATTCTAAGGATTTAAGAAGAATTTTTATCCCAGTGAAGATTTAAGTGATAATAGTTTTGGCATTTACCCCAGGACTATAAAATCACCAGTTTTACAAATGGGGGACAGGGCAGCATTTTATTTGTTCCGTATAATTCGACATTCCCACCAAGGAACAGGCAATATTCCTTAATGGTTTTGATTGCGACACTTGGAAACCTGGCAAGAATATGGCCATGCTAAGTGTCCTGAAGTTGGAAAATAAATAGCACGATAGCAGGACTGCCACTGCCAAGTCTGTAAACGGTCTTTCTTACAATCTTAATGAGGCATAAGCATAAAGTACATGAGTAATGGGAGTGATGTCATCTAACCCACAGTGCCTGGACATGCCATTTGACAAAAGCTTCTTCTTTAAACTCAACAAAGTACCTCTACTTGTGAGGCTAGATACAAAACTCCTGCAGGCAAATGAGAGTGTTCACTATAGTACATCAGTGTTTATGCTTGTAAGATAATGGAGGAACTATACAACCAGAGAGGCCTAAAGCAGCTACCACTTATCTAGCACAGGCAGGAAGGACCATGTGAATCCACGGTATTATAAATGATGCCCAATGTGAATAATGTTTTGGTTCATATCTAAATGAAGATTAAGCTGTGCAGTGCGGTCCCTCAAGCTTTATTTGGCATTGATACTTTAATGTTATCTTTATAGCACAGAGCCCCTAGCTGCATGTGATAGCAATGGAATATAGAGTATGTTACAATTATGGGCTTGACAGTGCAACCAACAGACTGCTGGGGAAAAAATGGCTGTACATTGGAACACCTACTACATATTTCCCAATAATAAATGACTCAAACAGATAGAGCAGAGATAAATAGTGTCTCCATGCCTACAAAGGTAATTCACTCCTTCAGTAATTTCTAATGGTTGAATTTTGTATTATAACAGTGTCATTAAGTATAACTATTGATTTAAAAGCACTTGTTTTCATGGTTTGGGTGGTCCTGCGACTTATACTCCGGTGTGACTTATATATTAAAATTTTCAGACTGACAGCTGCAAGAGTGCGCTCTAAGCTCGTATGTCATTATCTAGTACTACTATTACTCCTGTACCACTGTCACTTCTCACTCTACTGCGCATGTCTCCTGTAAAAATGGCCGGTGTCTTGCTGCAAATAGTAAAATATTTAGCTGAAAACATTAATTAAGCAGCAGAAAGAAAGTTTGGAGTGAGCGAGAAACTTGTGAGAGACTAGAGGAAAGCGGGAATAGAGAACACAGCTTCACGGCAACCAGACGAGTGCGCCATGAAAGTTTCCTAGAAGTCACTGGATGAATTGACAAAGCCTGAACTTCACTGACAATCGAAACCATCCTGTTGGGATTCAGAAAGGCCGAATAATTCTAACTGGAACTGATGCTTAGTCTGACGACAACTATGCAGAAGAGGAAGCGGCGCTCTGTTTACCTCTATGGTTTATCTCCGGAGGTCACGCAGAAGTGACACCGAGAATGAAGAATTCAATGGATTTAGTGATTTAGAGTGAGATCGTGAGTTTGGTAAACTTATGTTATGTTGTTTATGCTTCAATTATCTGAATAACTGTAACCTATTCAGCCTGTTGTTCTCTATTATGTTGTTATTACTATAACCTGCCATTCAAGATGAAATGTCAGTTCCTGGTCTCTGATTTTACAAAATACATTTCCCCAGAAAGTGCGACTTATAGTCCAGTGCAATTTATATATGTTTTTTTCTTCTTCATTGCGCATTTTTTGGCTTGTGCAACTTATACTCTGGAGCGACTTATACCAGAAAAAATGATAATCAAACAAAAAGCTACTTAAGCTAACATCATATCAAATTTTGTGAGGCATTCAGTTCAAAAGCGCATTAGTGTAACCTCAAATTCCCCATATTTTAAGTGTATGATTCTCAAATGTGTATGAGCTCATTAAAAATGTTAGAGTGAGGTACAATATTGAGTTCAGTTTGTGACTAACACAGCATTATGATGATATGAGCTGCGTTATAAACTCAGGCTAATGATCTTGAGACAGGAAGGCAGCGCTACACCAGACTGTGATACAGACTGTGACACAGACTGGGCTCAGGTGGCACAGGAAGACATCCACATTAATTGGGTTATTATTTTCTCTTACCAGCGCGAGGTTCAATGATCACATACAAATTTGGCCTTATAAACACAAACTGAACTACAATAAATATCATATTAGTCTTATTTTGAAGGAAGCTTAGTGGTAATATCTAGCAAAACAAACAAGTAAATGGCTAATAAACTTTCTTTTCTTTATGCCAAGGGTCACTCACAAATCATTGCATCTAGCTACACTGACCTGTGAAGTTATAGCTTTTAATTTGAATTAGAAATCGGATTAAAACCGAACTTCCAATATGCAGCCTCACTTGCCACAGCGAGCAAAACAACACAACAAAATACAAACATACAAGTCAAGACCATGAGTAATAGAAAATCCCTTGTCTATAAAACTGATAGGTGTTCTGACCTCACCAATGAGCTCAGCGGATTTTAACACTGAGTAACCCAACAGAGCAGTGGGGATCAAACAGAAAGTGTAGACAGAGAAGAGAAAGTGTTGATTTTAAACGTACCCTTTGGCTGTTCGTCTGAGTCCTCCTCTTCTCGTAGCCTGCAACAGAGACACATGAGGTCATCTTTCAAAATACTCTTGGCATCAAATCATAATGCACTTAAGGCTTGCAAATAATACATTATCGGATAAGCCCTACCACATTTCAGCACGTCTCTCCTCCTCTGCCATGCTGCTAACTATGAAATAACAAACCAAAGTGCAGCCTGCTCATGTCAATGTAATGGTCGCTCAATATGGATGGGGAGAGCAGCTGCCCGTGGGGTAGAGCGGGTGATGTAATGGGAAGAGGAGGAGAGAGAGAGGGAGAGACGCTGATTTTCATACAATGGAGCATCACGGTGGACAGCTGGGAGGGGTCAAAGGTCAGGGGAGAAGGGGACGCGGTTTCAAGCTTGACAAAAATTTGAAATAATAATGAATAAACAGAATATATTTGTGTTCTTTGCTTGCCCCTTAATAAAGATTGTTCATCTGCTTTGAATTCAAACAAAAACTGTAGGTGTTATCACTGGGAAGGCAGATCGCAATGTCACAACTCAATGTATGATATTTATCTCTTTATGATGATATACCTTAAAGACATGCACTCTGAAACTTTTTGGGTTGAGGGTCTGCCACCTGCTTGTCTCCATGATATTGCTTTGCCAGTAATATTTCATATTCAAATTTGGGTATTTTTTAGGTTCAAAAACATGTATTTTTACTGTGAGTGGGCTCCCCTCTCTGCAAATCTGACTTGACCTGCTTGCCTCCATGGAGATTTTATGCAAGATTTTATGGTGGAACATTCCGTTTCACTTCGTGGAAACCGTCTGACCTCACAGCATTAGGATTCATTTGCATGACGGTAGGTGGGTATTTTTTTTTATTTTAATCGCTGCTATTTGGTCGTGACATATGTAACGGGGCTAACTGGTATATTAAGCTTTTTCCCAAATCCTGTAGGAAAAAGGGCAAAAACACCTTTCCCCTTGACAAAATTCACCAAACATTCTCTTTGTTCCGGCTTTAAATCCTTGATCTCACGAATCGCTGCCAACTTGCGCTTCCGGGGTTCTTGCAAACTGTCTAGTGTATTTCGATTCCTGACCTAGTTGCTGGAGAGAAATGAAGCCGAGGTACTAGATGGCGCCAGCCTGGCTCGAACAATCAAGGCAAAGTGATAAAATCTCCATGGAGACAACCAGGTGGTAGAGACACACCACAAAGTTACATAGTGCACCAATTTAACTTACCTTAAATGGGAAGAATAACAGTCTTATTTGTTTCTAGGCTGGACTTTGTGCTTAGAAACAGCAATTTTCAAGCAATATCTTTTCTTTCTTGGGTTTGGTCACTGTGAACTGTTTAGTCTGTTTTGGTCATATCGACTCTCTAACCTTTCTAACACAGTGGTGGTAAATGCCACAAGTCATAAAATCTTAGACAAAATATTTATTGAGTGTGAATAGCCTTTATCCTGAGAACAGTGTGTGGTTTGTTTTGATGGAAAATCCCAATTTAACTGAAGGAGCAATATAAGAATGACAGTTATGTAACACACAGGACTTGAACCACATGTGCTGGGCTAGCCATTGTTCTGCCTGGCATCAAAATCAAAGAATGTTTTTTGGCACTCTCATCCAACAGTGCCACCTAGTTTTCATTTCGAAACACCACAATGGCCTGTTTAGGAAACCACATGGCTCAGGGACACTTCATCAAACTCCACCCACCTCATGACAAAGGCAGAGCTATAGGGCTGTGTGCTGCTATAAAACACATAGCAGAGGAGTTCACCAAGAGAGCAAAGGCTAATAAATGAAAAGAGCATGCTGTACTGTACTCCAGAAACGCCAATTACATGAGAGAATAAACTTCCTTTTTCATACGGAAATTATGTATTGTGCAAATGAGCTTAGGAAATACAGTGAACACAGGCAGAGCAGACAGGATGTAGTCATGTCTTATGTGTGGTTACAAGATTAAAAACGTGCTACCTCTAATTTGAGATCTTAACACAGGGCTTTGTATGGCAGCAGTATGAATTTGTGACTCTGAGCCATGTAAACAGTAATTACTAAACCCTACCTTTTGAACCCGAATCCAAGTCATTTCTTGACACCAAAGGTACAAATAACAAATGTCAAGAAGATGAGTAGGATCATAATTCTACTGTGTAATTGTAAGTGTCAGAGGGTAGAATCTTTTTAACTTTTTTTTTTTACATTCTATAGGCCAATGATGTTTAATACAGCTAAATTAATACAGTTAAAATGCTGACTTTTGTTGTAATACAGTGAGTTCTGGGGTTTAGTCACTAATAAAAATGATGAAGTTCAACATTTGTGAATTTACCTTTTGAATATTTCATAACATAGTACAATACTATTAATAGGAAAAACTGACTCTTGCGCCCCATCAATACATTCTATAACCTGAAAATCAGCAATACCGTGGGAAAACCTAAATATTCTGTCAACATTAATATAACCATAACCATATAAACTTATACACTAATTCCTTCTAGCTTGGCTCATATCAATATCCAAGCTCTAATCAATACTAAAACTAATAATGATATCAACATTTTAACTACTGATGAAACAACAAAGAAAGTAACTTCAGAATAGTTTTAGGATCACATAGTAAAATACAAAAAAAATGTACTGCTTTCTGAGTTAGACATTCTATTTCTAGTTTCTTTATTCCCATTGAGTTTGAAATGTTAGTATCGTGACAACACTAGCTTACAATGGATCATCCTTGATGTGTGTTGTGGGTTCATGTAGACTACGTATAAGCACAGTGTTAGGAATGTCGCTATTCAACAGTCACTGAGAATAAAGAGGAAAACTCCCGCCTGCTGCTTCATACAGCTTAACCTCTTGATTGACAGTTTTCATTATCACAGACACCACTGTGTTTCCTTATTCTATTTTGGTTACAAGAACACCCACAGAGATGACATGAAGAAAGCCACTCAATATATTTTGTAAATTGTTTGAAAATGTGCTTAGCTCTCATAAAATCATTTTGGATTCTTGGTTTACTTTTGTGATGGCATGGCAGGACAGTGACGCAAAGCAATCATCTGGCACTACTGACAAGATTAGAGGCTATCATAACAAGCATTCCAGACAGTGCATCAACTTGACAGCCTGCTTTCTGCATGCACAGGTGACTTTCCTACAATGGCTCCTTTAATTAAGATAAAGATTAAGTAAAATACATTTTAGAAGAAGACTGGCTTGGATCTGTAACAACAAAAATAACAACTTATAAGTCAATAGAATAGCTGTCTGTATAAGTTAGTGATATCTACAAAGCCATCTATTGCCCTTAATTTCACTGAACACCTGGTATGAAGTTCTGGCAGATTTCAAATATCTTGCAATGTTTTTAACACTATGTTATCCTCATTGCTACACCATTCTTTCCCTTAGGCTTGTTTGTCAAGAACAGGCATGTCTGGCAATGTCCAAAAAAAGAGAGCGCAAAAAAGGATGGTTATGAAACAAATCAATGTAACATACAATGTAAAGAAGTAGAAAATTATTTTATATTATTATATTAATTATTATTTTAAAAAAAGCAAGTCACCCTCTTAGAGTTAAGTATTGACTCTGGCTGAACGAAAACAGCTTGCATGTTATCACAACACAGCATATCTTCAGGGCAAAATAAATGGGACTTGCACACATGGCCAATTTAGGGAATGTCAGAGGTAGTGTTTACAGCAAACTGTGAAAAAAGTCAGTAAATGTCGCCTAAATGAGCAGGCAGGCAGCCAGCAATTCGAGCTAGCTGTCATTATAAAGTGCGCACCAGCAGAGGCATCTGCTACTTTTTGAAGTGAAAATGGGCAGTTATGAAAACTTCAAAATGTGCTAAAACATACATTTATGACACATCATCTGCTTGTGTTTTGTACATTATGTAACAAGTCCAGGATGTATTCTGGCAAAGACCCCTAGTTACAACAGGTCTCCCAGTATTCCCATTCCTCACATCCATTTCATTCTTTAATGTTCCACGCAGTAGCATTTAACATATCCATGTTTCATAAATTCAATTAAAGTGTTTTTATATAAAGTTTGCCAATGGCAGCACAGCCTAGAGACTAATGTCACTGTGGTTTCATGTTACCTCCACCCATCCAAATTCCTGTTAGATGTTTACCTGAGTATCTTAAGTGCTTCAAGTCTGGGCAGGTTTACTCTGCTTCTCAGAATGACTCATTGTTCATGTTACACAATGAACATGAGTGGTCTTTTGTGTTAAATGCACAGCACAGTGGAAGAACTCACCTTGAAGACACCTTTATAGATGAGGAACATACAACTTCTGTGTTCTTGTCCACATGATCAGTTGGCTCCTCATCATCTTTTGCCATGGACTCCGCAGCTCTATTTGCTCTTCTGCTGTAGGTTTGCTCTGTTACATCATCATTGTGACTTTCCTTTTTAGCTGTTTCTGTTGAATCACCTATCTTCTTGTCCCTCCGCACATATTTAGATGTGAACTCTTCTGTGTTGCCATAGCGTTTGGCCAGTTCCCTCCTCCTCTCCTCCTTGTAGCGGGCAATTCGTTCAGCCTTGGTCTCCAGGGCAGAGCTCGATAAGGTGTCTATTCCATCCATTTATGCAGCACAAAGTTCAGCGTCTTAAAACAAACTCGTAGATCTTCCCTGACAGCGGTGTCTCACTCCATCCAAGTCATTCCAGCTCTGCAAATCAAAGCAAAGATATGGTTAGTCAGTCACATTTGGAGAGTTCAAGTTTCAAAATGACAGCCTGCCAGAAATGCTTTGGATCTTCTGGGTCTCGTACTTTTACTCTACTTTTCCACAGTGAAATCACCATTTTTCCAAACGATTACTGTCAAAATGAACCTTTAGGGAAAGTATAGACCTAAAATATTTTATTAGTATTTTTTATGATTGGTTCGGGAAAAAAACTTGAGAAAATCAGAAAAATTCCAGATTTTGAGGGGCAGAATGAGCACAATGAATAGAAGGTAACTACTGTAACTGTATTTTTGCAGTTTGATAGAGTAATTAAAAATACAATTACAAATCTCATTAATTGCACAGCTCCATATAAACTTCAACAACAAAATGTTTCAGTAGTTATAGGGACATCTCTTCTAAGAAAGAAGCTATCAATTGTGTCCAGATGAGGGATTTCACAGACTTTAGTCCAATCTCCGACTCCAATTTATGTTGATGTTCTATGTTATGCAAAATTGATTCCTGTGAGGCATGTTATAATGCTGTTACCTCATCAAAGTGGATGAGGTAACGATGGAATGAAGCAGTATTTTAAGCAGTAACATTTTACTTTTAGTTCCAGAGCTGGAATTATCCTCCATCCAAATAAATTTAGTGAAGATGTATGGTGTTTAAAAACACAATGGAGCAGCACAACATGACAACAAAAGGCAGAACAGAGTGTTTTCTGTTTGAGAGAAGAACGCAGACTAAATATGCAGGATTTGTTTGGTAAACATGTGTGAATGAAACAAAACACGACTCCAGTTTCTGATGAGGAAACAACATTATAACAGATCAGAAAATAACGTAACATGGGTCCTTGAAAGAAATTCTTCAATATTTGACAGTTGAATTATTACTTCAGTACATTCTACCACTTCTCTCCAACTCGTATGCTCACAGCACCATCCAAAGCCAAGCCCCTGTCCTGCCCCAGTGACACCTCCCTCCACTCCCCACCCCCTAGTGAGTATGACATCATCAGACCACCGCGCGGAGACTCTCAAATAACCTCCAGTCCATCACTCAGGGCCAGCTGGGAACTAGGAGGACAATGAGTGAGAATGTGAGAAAGGCAAATGAAAACATGGCCTAATCCAACTTTATTCGTCTCCTAACAGGCTTTGTGAGCGAGATTATAACCCCTAAAACATCTCCTGTCGACAAAATGACTCATGATCTGCTAGACAATGCAGGGAAAACTCACAATTGTACATCAAATCAAGGTGAAATGTTGTGGTTTAGTCAGCCATGCATGCTATGAGTAAAACACCTGTTAAAATAAGCTCACACAATGGGTAGTGAATGACTGACTATAACAGCAATGAGTGGTTAATTGTAGAAGACAACTGGGTGTTTTGTTGCGATAGAAAGAAACCGCACAAGTTGCTCTGGTTTACTTCAGTTGTTCTTCTCACTCTTTGACAAAGCCTGTGGGGCATATGTAGTACCAGCATCGTGATTTGAAAACCACTGGTATAAATTAGCTGACATCTGCAATAAAAGCTTTGGATAAGAATGGAAAAACTCCCTGTGCTTGCTTAGCCAAAGACTTTTCTCATAGTAGAAAAATCCCTATGGGCAAAAAGCTGAGGAGGAATTCTTGCAGTCTGAAAGTGAATATCAAATGACTTGAATTAAGATTTTATAATAGTTTAGTAGTCTTTTCTAAAGGTACCGAATGTAATTCTCTGGAGGTTTCATGTCACATGCATGATGCATGGAAACCGCGCTTGAGAATATTCTCAATGGAGCTATACAGTGGAAGATGATAGAAAAAAGAACATTTCCAAGGAAGCAAGCAGGCCCTCCTTATATAGGCCAAATAAGAGTCAGGTTTGTGGAGATGCAAGCCTGCTCAGCACATGTTTTAGTGCAATCACAAAAACCAAAAAGAAAACAAACAAAAAAATAATCAAAGAAAATAATGCCTTATTGCTTTTATTTTAGTGTACTCTATTTTCTGGCAAAATGTTACACAGAGCTTTAATTTGTATACAAAAAGTCCTGAACAGTCAACAGCAACAATATCGTCCCCAAAGTTCTATCAAAATACAACAAAAATATTTAGTAATAAAAAATATTAAATAAGTATCTTTACACAGTTAACCTTTAGTGTGTGTACATATTTATGACAGGGAAAGTGTGTCTGGAGAATAGATGAAAGAGGGGGTCAAGGCAAAGTTTAGACACACTGGTCAATAGGTGTAAAAATAAGCTGACTTTCTTTGTAATGACGACAAGCTTGAACAAATCTCCAACGATCCCCTGACCCCTGACCACCTGCCAGGCTGGAAAATCCGGCGCCATATTGACAACACTCCTGGCCTGTGTAAAAAGCACATTTGAAATATAACGCAGGAAATCGGTGCAAAGTCTGTCTTCACCTTGACCGCTTCCACCTAAATCAACAGAGCAGGGAGTAACTCAAAGGGAGCCAAGACAATCCCCTGAGGAACTTTTAACGGAAAAGGTGTAAACTCCACTGGACAGTTGCATATAATCTGTGGTGTCCCAGTTCCCCGTCTGTTTTCAAAGATAACAAATCAGCACAGATCATTTCATGCTCAAAAAGGTTTCATACACTCTTTAATCATCTCCAGGAAGTCATAGTTTATAATATTACGATATGTTCAAACTAAAGCAACCAGGAAGTTGGATAATATCCACTTGAATGTTATGAGTTCAAATTTCAGGGTGTTTCATCTAAATTAACTGAATTATAGCTAATGTCCAACCATAACTAACAACATTAACTAACAGTGCTTTGAATGCCTCTATTATGTTACAAAACAGAACATTGTCAAATTTAACCTAATTTATGTGCTGACTAAGATGTGAGTCTGATCACTGTTGAATCTCACAGTTTTCAAATGGGCGTGAGTGACACATGGATTAGCCAATAAGGGACCGCCTGTAAAATATCACAGGGAACTGAAAAATAACACTGATTTATGCAGAATGAGTGAGCGAAGAACAACATTAATCTAAGATTAGATCAATTAGATTTTATTTTGTAAATGATATGGGAGCAATGAGCTCCTTCGCTTCACATGCGTCACTGAAAAAAACAAATCTGATCACACAATCATGTTTAGCTGGGGCTCAAACTCGGCAGAGGGTCTGGAGACCAGACTGATAATGATCTGTATAAAAAAATACAAAGATATCATTCTGAATTTCCAGGCAAGTGAGAGTCCCTTTGTCTCTGAAAAGTGAGTTACCAATAACACCTTAAGTAGGCCTGGTTATAAATGTTTTAAGGATAATGTCTCCACTCTATCCAATATAGGCACTTCAGCAAATTAAAGTCAGTGATTCAACTAAATGTGGTTATTTATAAAAATGCATTTAAAGCTAACCATGAAAACCCAGGGATCAAAATAATTATTTGAACTACTTCACTACATCACTGTCACAATTTTCAATGTTATGGCCATTAGGATATGCTTCAAGGTTAATATTTATCATTTCCAGTCACAGTTATTTTGTCTCTGAGCCAGATTGATATGATGTACAAGTACAGACTCTCTTACTTTCATAACAAGAACAAACATGATTTTGTCCCTTTGAAATATTTCCTTATTGAGGCAAAAGACCCCAGAAGTTAAAACATGTTGACTTCAGGACTTGCATAATTCACCTACCTATAAAAGGAGAGCTCCAATGAACACTGAAACTGGCCCATGCTGCACCAGAACATTCAAGCTGTTTTGTTTGGAAACTGTATTATGTTATTTTAAGCAACCAAAAAAAGGGGGTGATGTGAGTCATAGGTTAGACATCATCACTGCTATCAGCAAAGTGAACTCATACATGAATATTGTTTACTGACCAGTGTGGATTTACCTATTTAAGGCCATTTCTGCACCAAAGAATCGAAGGAAATGTAAAACTCCAACACAGCCATTTCAATGAGATGATTGTTTTCTAGATAAAACTTCAGAATTCCCAACCAACAATTAAACTCTTTTGTCAGTACGAAGCTCTGTTGACAGAAGAGTAGGTGGTAGTGTTATCACAAAAACAAAACTTCAAACTCGAGAATACACATTCCGATAATACAAAAAAAAACAAAAAAAACTTATATGTGTGTCAGTCATCTCAGGTATGTCGTCCAGGTATGTTCAGCAGTGGTTCATGGGCGTATTGTGGTCTGCTTGTTCCAGATATACTTGTTCATTCTAAAGTCATTCAGGAAAGCTTAATCATTTCTATGCTGTGAATGTCTAGTATCAATACCAGCTTAAATGAGTATCTAGTTTCGATACTAGTTTTAATATCTAATAGTATCTAATGTTCGATGTGGAGGTGACAAAGGGAAAGCGACATTCAGCTAATTGTTGTTCTTGTGAAGTCAAAAAACTACTTTTTATGCAAGTCACTTCTGGACCTGGCATAAAAATCAGCAACTTCGTGCTGTACACTGTAAACAATAATACAGTGGATGGCTATTAAAAGCCTACTGTTGCTTATAATAGCTGAATATTAGGGCCAACATTTTCCACAGTTGCAGTTGCATGACTATGGGGATACCCTGAAAATCCTGTATTTAGTCCCGCTCTATTATGCCACATTTCCAGTCCCGCTGGCTTTATTCCTTACACGATATCTGCTCCTTCAGGGCTTGTAAACACACCGCGTCCTCCATTTCCAGTTGCCAGAGTCACTTCCCTGACCTCTGAGTGTCCGTGGGGAGATGTCGTTGGCCGTGAGAGGAAAATCTGTCTCAACAAAAGCCAACTGTGTGGCTTCCGCACTGTGACCCATATCCTCTGCCCATAGAGTTTTATCAGGAAATCTTAACTATCTATGTGTAGCTAATGCCCAAACTTCCTTCAGATAAAAGCAGGGAACATTTACATAGGTTTAATGAGCGTACATCCTCATAATTCCAACTTGTTAGTGCATTCAAGAAGAGGGGAATTACACTACTATCTAAAATATGCCACCGC